TCTTGGTTTGCAGCTCCGCTTTGTTTTGCTGCCCATCACAAAGTTAAAGGTGTCATTTGCAGGTTTTTATCGTCCTCTGGAAATATCCTGTCGCTTCTGCAGCAGAGGTGTAAACACAACATATTTACATATTCACTTGTAAGCTTTTAATTTGAAGTTAAAAGTTTGTTGATAAAAATGAGCACATATGGAAAAATAAAAGAGATGATAAAAAAGTATTTCTCCTGGTGCAAAAACCACAAGTTTTCTATGTAGAGCTAAATCTTTCATGTTTCTTGTCATTAACCTGCTGCCCAGGATTATAATTAGGATTGTTTGTTCCTTTTTTCAGTTGTACTCACTCTGCTTAAAGTTTCTTTCCTCCAGCTGTTACATTTCATAAATGATAAATTATGTGACTCATCACTCACTGTTTATTTCTGCTCTGTTCATACTTAATATCTCAGAAACTACGTGTAGATGAAGTATTTCACCTGTTGTGGGCCCAGACGAGGTGCAGCTGTGTTATTTGTTGGGGAATTGCTTCCCAAGTTTCTGCGAGATTAGTGGGGATTAGTCATAATTCGAACAAGTCTTCTCTCCACGATTTATTCGACATGGTTCTTATTATCTTGACTATAAATCTTTTTGCTTGTTTGTACTTTCTGTCTGATCTTTTCATTTGTACACGCCATTTTTCCCCCCACTACTCTCTCGTGGATGAGTGTTACAACGGAAATGCCCGAGTACACAACAGCCACAGCTCCTGCGGCACGATTCCCATGGCACGATGGTAAAACCACTAGAGCAATGAAGAACACCTTTGATGAAATAACCTCTTCTTCCATTTGTTTCCTTTCCCCCCACTTTCCACCTTCTCAACCACACCAACATTAGTCGCTGGGTTTGACAGCATCCATTCATGCTCTAGCTCTCGCGTCCTGTTTGTCTTTCATCACTTGTCTCACCAGAATTATTCTGCAGGAAGGTAGAAAAAGTAATATATGACCTGAATGCTGTAAGGAGAGTTTTAGCACCCAGAAACGTCACACTAGTCTGCGTCAGAGTTGGCGGTAGGGAAAGCATTTCCCCTCTCGTCTCATTCTGCCGTTAGGCCGCGAGTAAAACACTGAACAGAAACATCAAAGACGTGACAGGTTAACAATGGTGTGAGAGTCTTCCTGCTAAATCAAAATGAAATTCAAAGTAGTTTCTGTCAAAGACAAAGGCACAATCTTAAAGAATGGACTATGTTGTAGCTTTGATTCCTGTAATGGTCTCTTAGTATGTACAGCCACGGCAAGCAGAGAACAAAAAACCTTCAAAGAGAAAAATCCAGGGTGTAGGGTGAACCCGTCACACACATGCCTTCTCTGCTTGACCCTTCATGCTACCTGTCTGCCTCAGAGATGAACACAGCAACAAACAAAGCAATAAAAGTGGTAAGAGTGCACGGCAGCAAAATGCTGACCTTTTAGTATAGGCTCAACAGATTGCATTGGAGATGTTTTCAACTTGAAACTGTCCTGATTTAAAAAAACAAAAGCTGTAAAATGTGTAATTCATGAGATACGTGACCTTGAGTTGATGCACAACCATTGAATTATTAACGGCACGCAATTATATGAGGAATAAAACATGATACACCGAAAGACCAGTTTTGTTTTTTGTTTTTTTAAAGATTTCTACATTAATATGATCAAAAGCAATATCTTATTTCCACACATTTACAGGCTCTTGTTTAAAGGGAATACAGTTCGACAGCTGAAGTGAAAATATTAGATTTAACCTCATATGCAGTGTTTTTTCTGGAGAGCCATGCTTTCTCCTCGGTCCTCTGCCATGCACCATCGCTGTCCGCTATGTAGCTGATTGTAAACCTATAGGTATGCACCTTAGCCAATGAGAGGTCTTCAGACACTTACAGGCTACTTTACTGGACTGATCTTTGTTGATTGAGGGTAACTTGGGCCATGATTTCTGTCATGTGTAATCTGGGGGGTTTTCTAACCTTTTCCAGCCTGTTGAGCATCTTTATTCTTGAGGCTGTGTTCATGTTCACTCCCTTTTATTTATGCACAACAGAAGTCATCTCAAGGGACTTGCTGTCAGGTAAACACCCTGCAGTATTAGATAGAGAACCTCAATGATCCAGATGTCTTCTATGAGCAAACATTTAGCGACAGTGACGAGGAAGAAAGCCCTTTTAACAGGAAACGAATCTATCAGAACCAGGCTCATGGAGAGGGCTCACCCTCAGCTTGGAGCAGATGTCCACAGCAGACGACAGTCAAAGACGTGCAGCAGTGGCCTATAAACACTTGAAGCTTGAAACAAGAGTGAACTGCATCATGAGCCTGAGCCTGTAGCAGCATAACTCAGGGTCAGCCAATCCAGCCCTAGCATGAGTTGTCAAGATCACATTAAAGCAGGGTGCATACTCACAGAGTTGAGGGTTCATATTCATATTAATGCCGTACTTGTCTTCATTGAGGTTTCAGCAGACCTGAGTGTGACTGGCGAAGGTGACGCTGGAAATCCTGATGCTTTAGCAGCTGTTTTGGCTGATTGCATCTCCTGCCTGTTGTACAAAGGGCTAAGTGTTGAGTCAGCTGATGTCCGTCAAAGTAAAATAAAGGATCATCTCTGAGCTCAGTATTTGACGTCATTAGTGACTTCTCTTCATTCAAATAATTCAAACATTCATTTCCACTGCTTTGCAAATTACGCTTGGCTGTATGTTCTGCTGACTTAGGGCGACTATAGGTAGTGACTTTTGTGTTTACCTCATGGCTTCGCTCTTGATACTAAATACTAGAAGTCTTGCTATAACTCCCTACATCAGGTTACCTGCTGTTGATTTTTGGATCACTGCATGCAAAAACATCTGCCTGGATTGTGAAATCCCTAAACAAATGGGCACAAATGTCCTGGGATGAATCTCTCTTTAAGTTGCATTCATGGAAAGTCGACACTTTCCACTAATGTGGAAATATATGCTGGACGCATGTTCTTGGTTTGCAGCTCCGCTTTGTTTTGCTGCCCATCACAAAGTTAAAGGTGTCATTTGCAGGTTTTTATCGTCCTCTGGAAATATCCTGTCGCT